GGGGGGGTGGGTGTGGGGGGGGGGGGGGGGGGGGGTGCATGGGGGCAGCACATGCTGAACTTCTTGCTTTTGATTCAGTGCTGCTCTGCGGGGGGTCAGGGCCCTGGCCTGCCTGCCTACGCACCCCCGTGCCCACCCATGCCCCTGCCAACCAACACCCGCTCCTGGCATAGAGAGAAGCTGTGATTGCCTTCCACAGATGCAGCCGTTGCTCTGTACTCAGTGGGACTGCACTGGTGTGGGGGCCTCGGTGCCCCCCGGGTGAGAGGCCAGGCAGCGGTCTCCCCAGCAGTCAAAGGGATTGGGATCTTTCCACCTGAGACCAGTTTCTGAGGACTTTGCCCCTACAAAGTGCCTGGCACAGCTCCTGCCCACAGGATAACGGAGGCTGAAGGAGACAACCCAGCTGTAGAGGGGCTGGGGGGGGGGTGTCTCTGGCTCTCTTTAGAAAATGCCTTCCCCTGACCAAGACCTAGCCGCTTCCCACACTGCCCAGCCAAGGGGATGGAGTCTTGTGCAAACTCTGCTGTAGCCCCCCCCATGCACTGCACACGGCGTCGTGCGTCTCTGCAGCCCCGGCGCGGGCGGGCGCGCTGCCCACGCTGCACGCAGAGCCTGTTCTACTGACTGCCTGGCGCGGGGCTGCGTGACTGGCTTGCATCTGCTGCACCGGCTCAGTCGCTGCCCGGGTGGGGGTGGCCGATGGAGCTCCTTCCACTGAGCAATGCTGGAGGGTGTCCCAAGCATCTCTCCTGACCCCCACCCCCCCCTTGCTCCTGCAGACCCATGGCCCTGGGGTCCAGCCTGTCCTCTCTGTGACCCAAGGAGCAGGGCCATGCATCTGCATCCCCTCTGCACGTGGAGGGTGGAAGGTGCCTGTCCCTTGCCCTGCCGCGATAGCAGTGTGCCTGTTCCAGACATGGGCATCCTGCTCCGTGCACGTGGAGGGCCCTGCTGCCACCCGCGCCGCCTCGCAGCCGTGTCCCTTCCGTGCACGGCCAGCTGCCTCCTGTGCCTCTGTTCTCCAGGCTTTGGCTCGGGGCCTGCTGAGCGGGGACCATGCAAATGCTGCCTGCAGCCTGTGGCCGCCCTCACAACAGGCCTCACTGTTCTCTTATGCAAAATGTGTGCCTGGGCCGGCCAGCGTGGGAGAACCTCACGGGGCGTCTCCCGCAAAGGTTCACCCTTCCTGCCTACCCACAGGGGAAGGGAATCCCTGGAGCTGGGCTGTTGCTCAGCCCCTTTGCCTTGCAGTCCTGCAGGATGGAGGCTTTTGGGCCAGGAAAGCCCAAAGCAAAAGGATGACTGCTCTGTCAGCAGTACCCCTGTGCTTCATGGTCACGTTGAAAAGGCGGGGGGGGCGCAGAAGAGCCCCACCATGGGAGGACGTTTGTTGTGGGGGAGCAGGACCCCCATATGGCAGACCTTTTGCTGATGTTCAGGATCTGTCTCTGTAGCCAGAAGGAAAACATCTGGCCTGGAGTATCATCTCCCAGAGCCATGTGCATCTTGTTAGCACTCTCAACACCTGTCCAGCCCCAGCTCCATGCAGCCTTGGGCTGATCCACCTGCTTTGGAGTAGCGCATTTGGCCACTGAAATGCGCCCACTTCAGGGGTGGAACAGGGTAGCTGCAGAACAGCATCCTTGCCCCTCAGTTTTAGAAGGCAAATGAGCTAGGTGAGTATCTCTCCGTCCCAGGAAGGGGTGAGAGCGGAGGGAGCACCCAAGGCAGCACAGCTGGAATCTGCCCCGTCGCGTTCCTGGCTCCCAGACTTGTGCTCTGGCCGTCGTCTCTGGATTAGAACAACAGGGATGTCTTTTATTTTTCTTATTTCTTTTTGTGCGGGGAAGAAAAGCACCTACCAAAGGCTGAATTCGGTCAGCCCCCCCAAGTTGAAGAGCCAGCGCTGCCTCCTGGCAAACCCGAAGCAGGAAGCATTTGGGAATCTGCCTAGAAGTACGGGGAAGATGGCACCTGTGGCATTGCAGCCCCAGCACAAAGCCCAGCCACGTGACCGGTGCTTACTCAGAGGGACGAATTCCACCCACGGCATCCTCCAAGACATCCAGTCCCATCTGCTCTTCTGGGCTCGCCCATCTGAGGGGGCCGGGCCGGGCCGGGCCAGGCTGGCAACGACACGGGGTCTCGCGGCGCGCGGGCAGCAGGCTCTCTGCTCCCCGCCGAAGCTGGGGAGAGCCGGCGTGCTTGTGTCGGCAGTGACATGGCTCGGGTGGGCGACGGAGGATCTCTGCAGCCCGTTATGATGCAGAGCGCAGGACCGGCTACCTTGACCTCCGCCGACCGCCTGCAAAGGTGTGGGGGGGATGCACGTGTGTAGAAATATAGAGCACCCTTCTTGCTGGACGTGGCGTGACCCAGGCATTGCAGATGGCTCTTCCCTGGGCCCGATCTCGTTGGGGTGACCGGCTCTGCTCCCCAGGAGTGACGCGCACGGAGCTAAAGGCTCCAAGCCCGGGGGGGGGGGGGGAGAGGGCCCGTTTTTTCCCCCCCCGTCCCTTCTCTTTCTCCCCCCCGGCCCCCGAGCCCCTACC